GTTCTACCCTAATTTTCATACAAATTCATTTGAAAGAAATTCAATCAAATATCCTAAACAATAACAAAATAGGATTGAGGGAGTAATTTTTTAAAGTTACTTCCTGTCTTTATCAATTTTTTCCATTTTTTTGTAGTTTCTTCTTATTTCTTTAACTTATTTTTAATTTCTTTAATTATTTTTTTCAGTTCTTTTTAATTTTTTTTCAAATTCTACCAGTTGATACCAAAATACAACTCTTAGGGTAGTAGCATTACTTGAATAAAAGAGGAAAAGAGTCATTACAAAGTAATAGCTAGAATACAAGCAAATATCATTTCATACGTTCTAATTTGAATCGTCTGTTTTGACTTACGATGTTTAAGTTATGGTCAATCTAAGAGTGTGCCAAAGTGCACTACTACCGACTCATTCCATTTTTTCAAGACCCAATATTATTAATTTTTTAGTATATATGTTGTATATTTTTTAAATGAAAATTTTAAAAGTAATTTTTCCAAGGTAGGTATTACGTACTCCGTAAAATATATAATTATAATATTATAATTTTTTATGTGTATTATTATACTATTAATTGTTGTTTTGAAGAAAATAGTTTGGCTGAAGTTATTTTCAATATAATTTATTTGATGAGTATTGGAGCAAAATTAAAAAATAAAATTTACATCCTAAAAAACTACATCAAGATCTCTACAAAAATAATATGTGACATAGTTGTATTATTTAATCAAATAAATAACAAAAATTAAAAAAAAGTAAATAAAATTTGATCATTTTATTGATATGAATCATAAATATACAACTTAATTTGGAAGAATCAATTTACTACGGTACAAAGTTGAAAAAATAAAAAGTGTGAGGCCATTGTAAACGCGGTAAGCGACTTGCATTAATAATTGTATATCCTCATTCCCTCGACCCAATTGTCTGCTAGCTGGAAATGAATCCGTTATTGTTTTCTCCTCTAATTGCGCCATGTTGGATCACACCTTAACGCGTGCCAACCTGTTTTCCTTCTTTCTTTAGTGTTTGTATTTCGTGTACATCATTATTTAATTTACGTACTCCATTAAAAAAATTAAACAATAAAGAGATAGAAAAATCAAAATGAAAAAAAAGAATAAAAAAAGAGTTAATAAAAAGATTAAATAATGCGGTTATTAACTAAAAAAGAATAAGAGTAAAAAAAAGAGATATAGACAGAATTATACAGTTCAAATATAAATAATTAAATATAACAAAATTCAAATTTTGATACATCATTATTTTTAATTGTTTAACAACCTTTTCAGTTCTACCCAAATTTGAATTACCGAAAAGTAAGAGTGTTATGCTTGGATTTTCCTTTAGCATAACATCAGTCACTATGAACAACAATGGGTCGGTTTCGGTTTGTGTTTTAATATATTCAAACCCAACCGAACGTGGTTTGATTTTGAGTTCAACATAAACGAGTCGAGTTCGAATGTATTTTTTCAGTTCAGATTTGGTTTCAGATTTAGTCGGGTTAGTTACGATCAAATTCAGATTATTGGATTGTTATCCCTAGCTATTCAGTATTCAAAAATCTAAATTTTTATTGTTTTTTCCAATGCATTTGTCAAGAACTTGTTATTTATCAAATCCGTTTCAAAATCAAAATATCTAAAATGTACTCTAGTATGAGTTTATTTCAACGAGTTTTCTTTCACACCTTAGCACGACTACGAAGATCAACCACTTATCACTCATCGAAACATAATTATGCATAAATTTGTATTGTAATTAATTACTTTCATATTTGATTTTGTACAGAATCATAACTTCACTTAAGTATGATTTAAGCTTACCAACATTTTACACTAATTACAAGTTTCTAATTTTTTCTCATCGTTTCATACTCCTTTTTTAATACTGAAGAATTATAATGCATTGGGTCAGCCCGATGTAGTTTTAAAATCTGGTCTACAAATGAAATGTGAAGTTTCTCACATATGTTCTATAATTGGATGACCGGTTTTATTTTACAAAGATAATACATTTAACTATTTCAATCGAAGGCTTCTATCACTCACTTACATTCTCATCACGCACCTAATCGGGAAATTTTCATATAATCAATGCACAAAAAGCACACCTTTTTTTATATTTTATATTTTATAGGTTTGACTACCTATAGCTAGCATAGTACGAAGTAAAAAACAAAAACATGCCAAGCGCAAGCAGAAAGCATGAGAATTAAAGATAAGTGTCGGTGGGGCATTTCAAGATGTAGGGGGTGTAATTGTGTAAATACAAAGTATTTTGTTGGTTCCCACATGCTTGATACTCCTTTTATATACGGAGTAGAAATTAAAGATGTACTCCATTTAATTAGAATATATTGTCATAGTGTTGGGATTCCTCCTAGTCCCCCGGAGCGAGAAGAAAAAATGGACCAAAATATATAGATTCACTCAACCCCATTAGTATGAGGCCTTTTGGGAAGTGCCCAAAAACAAATCCGTGAGGGCTTGACCCAGAGCGGACAATATCATACTAATGCGGGGTTGGGGTGAGGGCACGCGGAGTCCCAACACATAGGATCCAATAATGAGAGCGAGGATGTGTATCTTCTAACAAACTTCATCCATATGTGGTTAGGTAACAAACTATATACTCCTTCACAAGAATGAAAAAAATTCACTCCAAAAATATATAATTTTGATATTATTTTCTGATTTTGCCTTTAGTTTATAATAAAGTAGGATATAATGTGTATAATAGATGAGTCATAATTATAAATAGAAAATCTTTAATTTGTAAATCTTTTCACAAATTTTATGCTTTAATTTTTTATTCTTAAAAAATGTTTTAAAAAATAAAAAATGCAT